GCAATCACGAATTCAGATCTCTTTCACGAGTTATTGCGATTCAGCGGTCAAATACACACACAATTATGTTAAAATGCCCATCTTGTCTTATGACTTAACCCTTAAAGACCTAGAACATTTTTGGGGCATTTTTGGGACACGCCTGCACTTTTCTTTGTTTTTTTTAGACCTATTCTAGCAGTCAGCATCACGTGTCATATATCATTATAAACAGGAGACCTTGAAGTTTCAGTCTAGCTAATTAAAATTAACAGTTTTCCTTTTGTTTTCTCTAAGAATGAATGAATTTCCAGAATTTTAAGAAAAACGCAAGCAACAATTGGGTGTTTTTTACTGTGTACTCGAACAGAAACTCCTGAAGTTTGGATTTTTTTCTTTAGAAAGTTGTATCTGGGCGTTTTACACTTCCAAATAAAATTGTCTACATATAACATTCCCCAAGCAAGTTCTAGCCATTTATTACAATATTGATATAGGCACTTTTCAGTGAAAAACAGGTCCATTTAGTTTTACTAACAATATAGATGTGTCCAAAAAACGTTTAGGGAGTAAAGAAAATGAAAGTAGTCACTTTTTTTGTTATTATATAACACTGATTCCAAAGAAATATATTTTCAATCTGAGTATGAACAACAACAAACGTGCAGATATTTAGTGAAAACAATTGCACAAATTGTCTTCTGCAACAAAAATACAAAGTGCAAATGATTCACAAACTACACACAAAATGAGTGAGAAATATACAGAGTGCAACAGAAAAAATTGTGAAAATTATCTTTATGAACTAATATAAGAATTATTTACATAATATACATAATATAAATGATCGATCCGCTGGCTGTCCTCTGCGTTGGAATTGAATTTACCGGGACATCACCTAGCGACGCGAAGACACAAATTCCAGTGCTTTATCCGATATGTACCGCTGTTTCATCCTTGTTTTTGGTTTGTATTATGCCAAAGTACTCAGTCGTGTGTTTTTTGGGGCTTTTTCAGAGAGTTCTCTCATGCAAATGTGTTATTTTGTGTTTGTTTTCATGCACGCATGACAGACTTTACTTTCACTTTGCGTTTGTTCAACTTTCCAGTGAAAAATCCTAAATGGTGGTTCAAAAGACCAAAACATATGTTTATTGGTTGAATATGGCACCGTTTGAACCAATCTGGGCATGGGTGTGGGAGTAAGTATCAACAATCGTTCCTGTTTGGCTCAGAGGAACGAAATGTGTTGGTTTCTTCTGACGAATCAATGTTGTCAAAATGTGATGACGTAATCACGTACACTACGGAGCCTCTGAATATCCAAATAAGACAATTGAGATATCTCCGAAAATCTAATTTTTAAAGCATTCAGATAGGATTAGCGGCTCAAAAGTTATTAAACATTTAAGAACAATCGTTGTTTTTAGCCGCTCAGTCTTTGAGGGTTAAGTGAACATAAAAAGATGAGACAGCAGGCTAATATTCCTGCTGCTGTCTGTATCTATAATGTTCCATTCAAGTTTTCAATTCAATTCAAGTTTATTTGTATAGTGCTTTTCACGATACAAATCGTTGCAAAACAACTTTACAGAAAATTAAGTTTCTACAATATTTGGTAGTAGCTTATCAGTGGTGACTGTCAGTTTATGTACATATGGCAGAAATGTACGGAAAAATCAATTAAAGACTTAATCAAACAGACGATGAACACTATTAACAGCAATTATTATATGATGCAATCAAACTTTTAGCAAAATTTGGTAGTTCTGTATGTTGTTTCAGGGTTGTCATCTTCTGAGGTCCTCTGAGGGGTTTGCATCTCTTCTCAGGTGTTCTGGATCCAGACTGAAGCTTGTGTAAATACTAGTTACCACGGGATGTCAATTTTGATTAGATATAACTGCAGTACAAGATTATGAGATGCATTATTTGAATGCCTGGCCAAAGAGATGAGTCTTTAATCTAGATTTAAACGGAGAGGGTGTGTCTGAACCCCTAACGTTATCAGGAAGGCTATTCCAGAGTTTGGGAGCCAAATGCGAAAAAGCTCTTTTAAAGGGATAGTTTACCCAAAATGAAAATTACCCCATAATTTACTCACCCTCAATCCATCCTAGGTGCATATGATTTTCTTCTTTCAGACGAATACAATCTCAATCTCAAGAGTTAAATTTAAAAATGTCCTGACTCTTCCAAGCTTTATAATGGCAGTGAATGGGTGATATTCAATAGTCCAATAGAAGTCCAATCAACTGTGCCAATCCATCATAAAACAAGTGCTCCACACTTCTCCGGGGGGTTAATAAATGACTCCTGAAGCAAAATATTTTTTGTAAGAAAACTGTGGTGAGAATAAACTAGTCTCACGAGAACCAAATTTTGTTTACAGGGGAAAAAGAAAGCAAAGTTTGCTTTCTTCAGTAGTAGTTTCAAGATATTTTAGTCGGTTATCATCTCGCAGTCAAAATTTTGGTATCGTGACAACACTAGAGTTAAATGCATGTGAACTTTGTGCAGATCACTCGCCTTTTTCAGTTAATTTTTTTATCATTGGCAGTTGGTATGATTTTTAATGAGTGATTAATGAGAGAGAACTCTGCTCTTCATAGCGTCTGGAGTGCAGTCGTGCTTGCTGTAGGTTTTATTCTCTCTTGCCCTTCACAGCTGTTATATTATCCGAGTCAGTTTTTAGACTGCGTTCACGTTTACCTCTTTTACTCTTCCTGATAATTCAATCTCACTCTCTGGTGATCATGTACACGGCAGAATGCATCTCGCTCCCATTAGCCGACACTTTTTTTTCCACCTTTTTTTTTTCTCCCTGCCCTGAGCTATCGTCTTATTTGCCATGTAAATGAATTCCAAGACCATTTTACATAGAAATGTACATAGAGGAGTGAACGGATGTATATACATTTCAAAAGAAGCCAGCAGGCTCAGTATAATCCCTAACTCGTCATAATCTGGCATCCAACAAAGACCGAGTCTAACAAAGAGGTGACGTGCCAGTGCTCTCCACACATTGGCCTGCTTATCAGCTGCACCCCACTGTACTCCACTAATCCATCTGGGATTTGGTGCTGCATCTTACCACAAAGACAAACCACTGTCTCCTCTTCCCTTTGGGGCCTTCTTGTACTGTTAAATATCATCCTTCCTCTTGCTCCCATGTTCACTGCAGGCAAGCCATCAGTTAGATTAGATGCGTAATCAAATATCTCTTCCCTCCTCAGAGACTGATCTCTGCTCCATGTTGAGGTGAAGGAAAAAGTGAGGGAAATAGAAACAAAGGAGATAGGAGAGAGTGAGGAGAAAGAGAAAGAATGAGTTATCCAGCACTGCACCAGAGCTGATTTGGATGATTAATGGGATCTGAGACCGGTCTAACTTTTTCTTTCTCCTGCAGAGGTCATGTGACATGGGCTGCTCAATAAGCTCTCCAGTAATATGTATGCGGCCGTTTGTCACATTTAATGTTATTTTAATATAATATAAATTTGAGAGAGATGGGGAGGAGGAAAATGTGTATTTAGAAAGGCTGGAGAGATGCTGTCTCCATGTAATGGCAGCCTGCAATTATTTCTTTCTCTTTTTATGTTATTTTTTTTATAATGCAGAGTATATAAGCAACAGAGATTTGTGAATTTTTTTTTTTTTTTTTTTTTTAACTTTTTTTTTTAAATAAATTGTGTCTATGTAAACAAATTCCATTTGGACATAGTCCGTAGCAACATTACACTAAACTTCATTAGAGAAGGTCTGTAAACAAATGAATGGCTTTATTTTACAGATATAATGTGCATTTATGTAACCGGCGCTCGTGGCACTTTAAGCATAGTATCATCATTTTAAGTTATTCAGGTTTCTCTCATGTTGTCTTATGAATGTCCATTGTGCCTAACAGCACATAAACCAGTCGTCCCGGACAAACAGAAGTGACACTGGACATATTTTAACACTGTTAACTGGGAGGATAATTAGGCAGTCAGAGAGCACTGGAGATGGATTTAGATTTAGAGCTTTAAGATGCTAATCAGTGTTTTCAGATCACTCTCACTCATTCGCCTTTGCTCTCTTGAGATAGAAAAGCTCAAAATGGTTCTCGATTAGAGCAGATCAAACAGCTCTTGTAATCTGGGACAGAAAAAATTAATTCAATAGACAAACCATCTCGTTAAGCACAGTTTTATTGATCACTAAACATGTAAAACATCACTCTTTCTCTCTATATAAAGAATTTTTATTTTATTTACTAAGAGGTTTTAGTTTTTTTCTAATGACTGTGTTGAATGTGTGCTGTATTTATATCTCTAATATTTATGTGTGCATATGTGTCAATATTCTTCTATAGTGCACATCTAGAAGAAAGTAATACAATCCATAAAATAAAGTCCATCCATCTAAAGTTATTTAAAGCTTTGATTTGGCTCATTTGATTAATAACATTTGTTTTTTCCAGAAACGTCACAATGCTGATAGTGTTGTTAACAAGAAAGAGACACACGGTAAGACTTTTGTTTGTTCACTGTTTGTCTTTAAAAACCCCATACATTTGTCTGATTAGATTTTCTTCCCTGATTTAAAGTATTTCCTGTTTAATCAAAGATGAGGTGGGACGTAAATAACTCATGAATTTTGTCATTCAACCATTGGCTGTTATTTACTAGTTAGGCGCTACCCTTCTAAATTAGATTTGCCAAAAAATTGGACACAGCCATAAGTACAGGATGAGTCAGCATTTAGTAATTTTCATATCTTTTTCCTGCAAGAAGAAGACAGTCAGCTTTAAATGTCTGTGTATATATGCATTTTTATATCATGGGGTCTTAGTCTGTGTTCTGTGGATTAGTCTGTGGATCTTTTCTTTACATACTTTTCTGTTATGGTGATCTTTCTCGCTTTCTCTCTCTTGTAGTATTGAGGAACGGCGCTTGGGAGATTGTACATTGGGAGAAGGTACTGCAGCAGATGCTGTTTCTCATACCAATTGCCTCACTGAGTTCCAGCATGAAAATAAGTTGACATGCTCTTAGAAACAGAGTGAGAAATGAGTATGCATAAAAGATGCCCACTGGTGTAAACCAGAGCAGGTTTGGGTTGAAAACCGATACTTTGGTGTTGTCTGAAAAGGGTACTTCCCTCGCAGCTCTTTTTCTTTTGTTGATTCCCAACTCTATCTTTAAGGTCAAAATAGAGTTGTTCACCAGGCTGCAGCTTACGTGCGGTCTCCATAGAGATCTTAATACAGCCAGACACAGAGCAGCTTTTCAATGTGTTAGTAGAGAGTAGAGCTAATTACCTTGACAGAAACACACAGTCCATTATTATAAGGTGAAAGCAAAAAGACTATAATTACCTGGTGACTGGGCATTCATTAGCATTTTCTATATTAGTGCACATCTGCGAGAGTGCATTACCTTTTGCCCTTGTGACCTCACCGTGGCACAGAATAGGATGTGACGTCAACTATGACTGCTTATAGTTCTTTCCTTTTAGTATGTTATTTTCTGGAGCTGCAATTCTGCTAAATGCTGCTAGAATGGACAGTGAAGTACAATAATGATTCTGCTTTAGCTCTCATTAAATCTAGTTTTATTTTTGTCATCTCATCAATATTCAAACCAGAGCCAGTCTTCTTGTCGCCCATCCTTTTATTAAGCCACACTGTGACACACTTTGAAATACAGTGTACAGTATGAATAATGTATTTGAATACTTATAAATCGTATATCAACTCATGCATATTTAAGTAGCTCTCCACTTTGATTCAAAATAGCAGCTATGAAGCAGCGTCCCCCACTTTTACTGGATTATGGCTAATAAGATGATTAAAAATGCAAATCCAAAAAGATAAATTGTTTATTTGTGGATATCACAGAGAATACTTTTGATTAATTGGCCTCATTTTTAAATGCTAGTCTCAAAAGAAGACTTATGGATCGAAGTACTTTCTTAATATGAAATGCATGGTTCTTGCCAATGTCAGCCAGATGTATTGGCTCTAGTAATATGTTATTTCTCTACTCTCGCCAGTGGCTGCTAGTTTGCTATAAAGTTTATGAACTGATAACTAGTTTGTGTTTTACAGGTTGTGGTTGGCGACATAGTTAAAGTTAATGGCAAAGATTTCGTACCAGCAGATGCTATACTGCTGTCGTCCAGGTAGACGAATCTATGTCATCAGAAGGGAACTTGTCCGTCCTTTTGCCCCTGTCTCACACTCAACACCAAAAGGAAGTGATGATTAACAGGCTAATAACAAATAACCCTGAAACAAGGCCCCAAATCAATGCAGTGACATTACAAATAGTATCAGTTAGGGGTTGTAGTAATATAAATGTTATTTGTAATCCACAAAGGATGAAGGCTTAATTGACTATTCACCCCAAATTGATAATTCTGCCATCATTTACTCGCCTTTTTTTGTTCCAAACACAAAAGTAATAGGTTTTTTAATGAAAGGAGGTGAATAAATGGCACAAGTTTTATTATATACGAGTTATTCTTTAATAAAATTAATGAAAAGTCAAAATCAACACTTCCTTTAGTGGATGTTTGCTTATTGATTAATATTGACCTGATGAAGCTGTGTTCAACATTATCATCGTCACTGTCAAAATCCATTTGCCAGCCAGGCCTTAAGTTCTGCGGTGTTACTGACGTTTTTTGTCAGCCACAGATATCAGTAATTTGGCATCAAGTATCATTTCTGAAAGCATTTTTGCTTTCTCCCACTTTACTGGTGGTTTAGCCTGGCTTGGGTGTATTTTGAGCAGTGGACATTGTGTTTTTATCCTCTGTGAAGATTAAACGTTTGTGTGTTTGTGTCTCTCTTACCTTGTTGTTTGTGCTCTTCCTCCTCTGCCCATCTTATGTCCTTTCCCTCCTCTCATCTCCACCTTTCACCCTCCCCTCCCACATCATGTGATGAACAACCTTCTCCCAACTTCACTCGCATCATTCCCCTTGCGTGGGGGCTGCTGGGTAAATTAAGGTGTCGGTAGGGGAGGTAGTCCGAGCAGCCAATGGAGATCACCTCCCGGCCGACCTCATCATACTGTCGTCCAGGTCAGGAACAGCTCCGGTTTGCATGCGGGCTAGGTGGGAAGGGGGTGCACATGTGGAGAGAATCTGCTACCTTTAATATTTCGCGCTCCTTTTTTTACTTTTTTTTTTAATATAAATTTGGTTTGGCCTGGTGCATCCTGTGTTTTGTCAGCTTTTAATGCTATTCTTGGTTATGCCTTTTTTTTTTAGCTATGATCTTATTGATATTGATGGGTATCTCTGGGTGATATACATTTTTATTTTTTAAAACATTAATATAAGATTATTATATATATATACATATATATACATACATACACACACAGTATATTTAGGTGTAAAGACCATCTGATATATATTTGTAGCAGAATTTGGGAATACACTAGTACAGTATAAATGTATTACCTACATTTACCTACATATGTTTTTACTAAAACATTCAAATACAAGAAAAAATAAAGCTTTTCAATCTGATTCAGTGAAACACACATTTTGAACTGAGTAAAGGAGATTAATTGAATTGACCGATTCTATTGCCATTTTGCTATTGAAGTTTAAGTCAGTGATTAAGTAAAAACTAATTAAAAATTCTGAAGGCTCATACTTAGAAATAGTGAGACATGGATCACAAAACTAATTTTCCAGAAACTTAATGGCTAAATAAAAAGTGCATTTAAATCATTGTTTTATTCACAGTGGTTTTATTTTGTATCACCAGCAAAATATATCTTGTTTTATATTCAACATATTGCTCAGCCACACTATATGTCTGATAATTGTGCAATAATAGGGCCTATTTAGACTATCACGACTCCGTAAACACAAATACCTCTCTTGGACCAAGTGAGATTTTTAGATTCTAACACCAAAAATGGGTTGACTGAGGACAAATTTCCCAGAGGACAACTCTGTTCAACTCCCAGCAGAAAATACTGATGAAGCCCTTTCTATAACCGTAGAGTCGTGTATTACAGACCTCTACTTTGTGCTGAAGATGCTTCAGCTTGTGCACACAAGAAAAACAAAGCGCTTCTCTAACACAGCTGGAGAAAAGCCCCATTGAGTGACTGTAAATGTCAAAGCTGTTGGCACAATGCATGGCTTCAGCAGGAGCTCAGATTCTGATGTGACTCTCTGCATGCAGTCACATCACCACAATGTACAGTATTGTGATGAACCTTTATAGTAAGTCACATTGTTCACATACTGAATCTATGAGGAGGGGGTTTTTTCACTCCACGATAAACTAACAACTAAAGACAGAAGAAATGAGTATTGACATCCATTTTTGTTTTATATAGACCCAAAGCAGAGCATGCTTTTCTGATAACTTTTCATTTTAAGTATGAGGAACATCTTTTCTGTTCATGCCTGCTATCATTTATTAAAGGAGTGATGTGTAACTTTGGCCCTGTGAGCTCACTATCCTGCTTTTGCTCTTTTCCATATTAACACTGAATGTTCATTTGTCTGGTGTGCTGCATCTTTCCTTTGTTGCATGTGGAGGATGTCACTAAAAATAAAAACAGCAGAATGCATGGCCATAAACAAAGATGCATCGAGTGAAAGTTTCCTAATGGCTGAGTGCAAAATGAAGGATCGAAAGGAGTGCCATTAGAGCGATATATTTTCATTTTCAGTCCAAGTACTAAAATGTTTTATGCAGTTTGGGGGAAATATGCTGCCCAGTGGACTTTCCTTACTGAAATAAATAATAGCAATACAGTTTTAACAGAAAACTCTAGTAGCTCTGGAAAACAAGGCATCTTTGTTTATGGGGCTTCATTTAGCTGTGTGGTTTTGATTGATGTGAACAAACTTTCTTTATTTAATAATTATATATGAAACTTGAAATAGTTACATATTTTTAGCCAATGCCATTTAGCTGTTTTACGTGTTTTTTTATGTTATGAAAGTGGCTAAAGTGGCTTTTAAAATACACTATTGTTCAAAAATTTGGGATCAATACAATTTTTGATCAGTGTAATATGTCTCCCTCCTTTACATTGGCTACGTTTACATGCACAATTTTTGGTTCAAAATAAAGCACGTTTGATCATTGTAATATGTCCTTGCTAAATAATTGTAAAAAATTTTTTTACTGACCCCAAACTTTTGAAAAGTATAAGTTAATATTACTGTATTTATATATTTCACTAAACTGTAAAGTATTCTACTGGTGGAGCCAGATATCTTCATGGTGTATTAAAATGTATATTTTTTCATAATGGTGCTGTTTATTGTAGTGAACCTCAAGGAATGTGCTACATTGAGACCTCAAATCTAGATGGAGAAACAAATCTCAAGATCAGACAGGTGACTTTTCTTCCCCCCCCATATCATAACTGCTGTTAGTATTGATTCTTTACAATTCACCTGATAGTTAATCAGTGTGAATTTTATTACTTAGTGTTTTTTGTTATACCCAGGGTCTACAGATCACTGCGGAAATCAAGGACATTGACAGTCTAATGCGTCTCTCTGGACGGATGGAATGTGAGAGTCCCAACAGACACCTATATGAGTTTGTGGGCAATATTCGCCTGGATGGACACAGGTATGATTAAAATCTTCAGACAGAGTGTGAGTGATAAAATGTAAAGGTAAAATTTGCCTTGAAGTTAATTTCACAAGGAAGGATTCGATCGATGATGAAGAATGAAAATGTCTCACTGATACTTTAAGGCAGGTTTAATAGCGTGTTGATATTTAGGAAGGAACTAATTTATACTTTATAAAATATCAAATTTGTTGTTTTTTTCCTTAAACCTCTCTCTGTGCCGTTGTTTGTATCCAAGATAACATTCTCCTGCTCTTATGCTTTATTGTTTTTGTGTGGGATTTATTGTTTAAAATGTTGTGTTGGCTCCATATTTAGCACTGTACCACTCGGCCCTGATCAGATCTTGCTGAGAGGAGCACAACTCCGGAACACACAGTGGGTCCACGGTATAGTGGTCTACACAGGACACGACACCAAACTCATGCAGGTAATTTGTCTGCTTCAGTCCAATTCAGTCGTATCCCAAATCCAGCTTCAATCTGAGAAACTGTCATGTTTTGTGTCTCCAGAACTCCACGTCCCCCCCTCTGAAGCTTTCCAACGTGGAGCGTATCACCAACTTTCAGATCCTCGCGCTTTTCGGCTGTCTCTTGGCCATTTCGTTGGTCTGCTCCATCGGCCAGACGATCTGGAAGTACCAGTACGGCAATGACGCCTGGTACATGGACCTCAACTGTAAGATTCAGACCCCCTTTCCTTCTGTCATGCTAGACTGCTTGCGCGTCTATGTGTGCTTCCATTTTTTTTATCGTCAGTAATTTTCGTCTTCCCTCTATGTAAACAAATATGCATTGCATATGTGAATATTTGTCAATAAAAAGGGAAAGGAGAACTTTTCCCTTTTAGTTCTAATATGCATAGACATGTGAATGTATAAATGGTTGAATATCACAAACGCTGCTGTACTTTTTTTTTCGTTGGTTTTGTTATCAGCTTCCTTTCTAACATTGTTTGGTTTGTGTTTTTTGTTTCTTTGTTGTTGTCATTTTCTTAACAGCTCCAGGTAACAACCATTTAAAACCCTTGGCCATCTGTGAATGACCCCTCCTTACTAACCCCTAAATGAAGCTCAGCTTTTGCTAAGCTACCGAAGCCACTTATATGGTTGCCCTACTTTGAGAGGGTAATTGCAGAGGACCGCACACACACCAGGAGTCCAATGATAGGTTTTTCCCTTCCAGCTCTGCACTGTATAGACCCTCTTAATGCCTGATGTCAAAAATGTGCCTTCCCTTTCTTTATTTTGGTGACATGTTAAACACTTCGCAAGCTCCGGCTTCGGCTGTGCCAGCGTCCTTTCGCTCGTGCCTAACAAATGAGCCATGACAGTAAGCCTCGGACCCAAAGAAACACACGTGGACAGAAGCGAGTTATCCATGGGCGCTGTCAGAGCAAGAGTTTGAAACATGTTCCTGTGCAGAAGCTGAAGACCCTGGATTTCAAACTGTGACATTTTCTAAATGCCCCCCTTTTCCTCTTACTCACCTCCTCTTTCTCCTCGTTCAGCTGTGTTTGTTATACCGGGTGCTGACAGGTGAGGCAGAAAAGGCCCAGCTCTGAATAAGATGAGCAAATCCATGCTAATAGGCTTAATGTTTGGATTGTAAAAGTACGATATTAAGAAATACAACACTGCCATTAATTTTTAATGAGCAGTGATGGGAACACATCTGTTGCGTGCCTTGAGCATTGCAGGTAATTGAAAAAGAGACAAATAAACAGTTTTGTGCACCAACGAGAGGCAAAAATGCGTTACATTTGTGGCAGGAGATGCTTGCAAATTGATTGACGTGTCACCACCATCATTACTCTTGATTTAAATAGGAGGGGCTGTTTGTGTCCGAATCGATCGCAGCTTGTTTTATGGCCTACATGGTTCCCTTCGTGGTATACTCTGAGAGTTCATTGAAAATGTCGTCAAATGTTGAGATGCACCACCTTGGATTCTGGGTTCCATGTGTAATCATTCACATCCAGCGCAGTCATTTAGAAAGGAAATAACAATGATGTTGGGTGCCATGTGAGGGAACAGTGAGGTCATAAAGCAGGCATCCATCATGAAATTGATTATTCCTCTAAAGGAGGGAGACTCTGTTTTTTATGTTTGTTTGCCCTCCTAGTGGAACTGTAAAAGGGAGAGGTGGCATTGATTTGTCGTTAACATGCTTTTGCAGATCAAATTTACTTTATAAACCAAGGAGACTTCCTGCTTTTCAGTTAGTGGTATAATCAAGGGTTCATAATAAGATGTATAGGGTTAATAATACCTGGAGGGAGCTACACTACCAAAAGTTTGTTTTTTTGGAAAGAAATTATTACTTGTATTTAGAAAGGATGCATTGAAAGTAAAGAGACTTATAATGTTACAAAAGTTTTCTATTTCAAATAAACGCTTTCTATTTATGAAAAATACATATAAAAGAATCACATTTCCACAAAAATATTAAGCAGCAAAACTGTTTTCTGTTTTGATAATAAGAAATGTTTCTTGAGCACCAAATTGGCATATTACAATGATTTCTGAAGGATCATATGACACTGAAGACTGGAGTAATGGTTGCTAAAAAAAAATCAGCTTTGCATCACTGGAATAAATAAAATGTTAAAACATTAAAATAGAAAACAGTAATTTTACATAGGGCACATTATTACCGGTTTTTGTTTTTTTATTTTTATTTTTTTGAACCACATAAATGCAGCTTTGATAAGCATAAGAGACTTCTTTCAAAAACATAAAAAAAATCTTATTGACCTCAAATTTTTAAATGGTAGTGTGTCCATGTAGCATTTCTGTTCATTTCAATGGCAGGTGCACAAGTACAAAATTTCAAAACTTAAATTAGTCAGAATACAGCCTTCTGAATGACTGTCAATGGAGAAAAATGCTTTATGCAACCAGATGGTGTAGTTATGACATCAGGTAGCTAACTGGGTCATGCTAACCAGCTATCTCTTGACCTTTTGGGCATGATTGGATCTATTTGTTTTTTTTCTGCTGGATATCATAATATGATTCATCCCTAGAGGTAAAAACAATGCAATAGCTGTGCTTGAAGGTTTCTAGATTGGGTTAGCAGGCATACGCTGAGTGCGACAGATACACACTTTCCACTCATTAGTCTGAGGGTTGCACACTTCAGGCAGATGAGTAATTATTCATCATAAATAATTTGTTTGACTTTGAACCCCTGTGATATTTTACTCTGCTTCTGTCCCAGTATATCCAAACCAACATGCAGGTGGGCCTCTAGAGCACTTGAGCAGCAGTCATTTGCTATGCATTCACACCACCTGCAATAACAGTCACCCATGTTGAACTCCTGACCATGAAATAACCAGTAGCAGGTTTTGTGCTGCACAAATGGGTGTCTTGAAAAGTGCTGACCCCGCAGCACGACTCCATGCTGCACTGATGTCACTGGACCTGCAGTAGCTGAGAGAGATGGTGCGGCATCTTCTGCTGCTTCAGTATATCATGTGAGCATGAGCACTGGTGAAGGTTAGCGATTAGAGTTGCATTTGTTTACTGTAGCCTGTCGAATGCAGAGAAATGGTCTGCTTTATTGCCAACTTGGTCTTTGTTGGGTTTAGTTTTTCACTTTCAAGACTAGAATGATTGTTCAGTAGTCAGGAAACAAGTTCTTCCTTGAATTAAGTAGTTTGCATCCAAAAATCTTCCAACAGGAAAGGTCTTCTTCAACCGACAAGCAAGAGATGGTCATGTTTTGTTCGGTATTACTTGTACCATGTTTCAGACCTTCCGAATTATTGAAATGTCTCTAAATGTCACATCTCCCTGTTCGGCTCCTTTTGATGGGAAGGTACTTTAGACTGGTCTCCCTCCTTTACATTGGCTACGTTTACATGCACAATTTTTGGTTCAATCGGACTGAATTCATTCCGATTGATGAATCTGAATGTAGTGTTTACATGAACGCTAAAGAAAGTGGATCGGGTTGATGTGCGTGTTTATGTTACAAGCTTCAAATAAGAATAGATTTTTTTTTTACATGCGCACACTGCACAAATATAGAGTTTCTCACTGTTAGCACATAACCACACTCCTACATGGTTTGTTTATTTGTTTTTAACAGCAGAATGAATATTTATTAATTTATGGATAAATATACATAAACTGCTGTGCCGTGCTGCTCATATTTATCACGCAGTACAAATGCACCTCCCCGCGCCCAAAACGGTTTGCCTGATGAGAATCCAAAACAAGGACTGATTGGAGGTTGTCCTGCTCCACTTCACAGTTGCCAAGTGAAAGGAGAGTTTTATAATGACAGGACACGCATTTATACAACACTTTATTCAAAAGGAAGAACCGCTCGTTCCGCTCATCATACGTCATTACGTTATTTCTGCGTCATTGCACATGCGCAGTTCTTTAAGTTTCGGGGTTCAATCCAATCGAGTGCTTACATGCACTCTCAATAGTATTAGAAAAGGAATAAACCACCCCCTTCAATCCGATCGAAATTTCATTCCGATCGAGCTCAATCAGATCGTTTAAGGTGTTTACATGAAGGTTTTTCAGTCCGATTGAGCCGTCAATCCGATTACAAATTGATTATTTGGTTGCATGTAAACGTAGCCATTGAAACATCCAAACTGATTGTCTTCCTTCCCACCACTAGCCAAATCCTCTTCCTCTCTCCGTGAGTCAGTTCCAAAAGCAGTTGTATGATTGCCCAGCCTCTCTAGTTCTAAGACTCTTTGAGAAATTCGCTCCCTCTCCTAACTGCTCAGAAAAAGAATTATTGCATTCTGTGGACCCCCCCAGGTAAAGCTTTTTATTCATCCTTAAAGTCAACATGAAGTCAAAAAGAACCCATTTACTTAATTAAAAAATGTTCTTGGTCTCACTATGAACGTTTCATCAGTGTTTAATGTTAACCAATAGCCAAAAATTGTATTCTATTGGTAAAATGCAATTCAATGACTCCCGTATTTACCCGAATTAGAATTTAATTTTTGTTTAAGGCTACTGTTGTATGTAATGTTGTTGTTTTTAGATCTTGCTAATAGTTAGAGTAATTTAATGTATTTCTCTCTTTGAATATCCTTTTAAACGTGGGCATATATCACAAAGTAAAATGGGTTGTAAATATTGTTTCATGTTGACTTTAACACTGTGTGTACTGTCTTGTGTCGGTGGTCTTGTTTTTATTGATTACACTTTTCTTTCTTTTTGTGCTGCTCTTTGTTAAATTTGGTTTTTGATTAAGATTGGAAATCATGATCACCCACCCCCAGTGCATTGTGGGATAATGTGTTGCTTTGAATCTTACCCATATTGCCAAGGCTGCCGCTATAGTGTCAAATAACCGAATCTCAGTTTAGCTACTAATTAATGGAGACCTAATTTGAAAATTGAATGTACATTTGTAGGTTAGAGGCTTACTGGAGAGATTGGGTGGAAGAGTTGTACTGTATAACTTTAGAGAATAGTGTTTGCACAACGCTCACACAACACTAGTGGAGCATTGTGGAAACGTTGCAAATTAGACCAGATGAGCTTGTGGCATTGTTGTCCTTCCATCATTTTTCCCCTGTCCACCCCATCCCATCATGCCTTTCACAGCTCAGAAAACTGTCTGTCACCTTACTACCTCTCTCTCCTCTTCCTCCCCTCGCTCTTCTATTTCCAGATGGTGGAGCAGCCAACTTTGGCCTGAACTTCCTCACGTTCATCATCCTCTTCAACAACCTGATTCCCATCAGTCTTCTGGTGACTCTAGAGGTCATCAAGTTCGTCCAGGCTTTCTTCATCAACTGGGTGAGTGTGAGGCTGAGCTCCGAGAGCTCTGTATGTGTGATGATTCTGCAATGCAGACTGCCTAAACCTCCAGGGCCAATCCCAGAAAACTTCACAGCCCAAACGAAAGTGGAGCTTTATCAAAATAACCCATTTGAAGATGCCAAAAATGGATTTGTGAATTCCCATCGAATGGCAAGACCTTTGAGCAAAAGTTTCATTCCTCTTATTTTGATCGACAGAGTATGAAAACAGTTGTTTAAAGTGGTACATTTATGTTTTAGAGTCCAGATGGCAAGGTATTAATAGAAAATGGTTGTGATTATTAATTCTGCCTGGTGACGTGCTGTATTTTAGGACACTGACATGCTGTATGAAGCCACCAACACACCAGCTATGGCCCGGACATCAAACCTGAATGAGGAGTTGGGACAGGTACTGCTTACCCTCACATACAGAAATAAACAAAATGAAAAACGAAACAAATAAAAACAATTACAATTGATTTATATTTGTAAAATCAAATTTCATGCAATTATGCATAATATATACTACTGTTCAGTTGACATTAATATGGTTAATCAGCATTTCTTGAATCGGTGCTCAAGAAACATTTCTTGAGCACCGAATAAGCATATTAGAATGATTTCTGAAGGATCATGTGAGACTAAAGCCTGGAGAAATTGCTGCTTTAAAAATTATACTTAAAATTGTATTAAAATACAAAACAGTTTTTTTTTATGATGTAATATTTCACAGTATTACTGGTTTTGTGTTTTTCATCAAATAAATACGGCCTTGGTGAGCATAAGAGACTTCTTTCAAAAAGATAGTCTTATTGACCACAAACGTTTGAACCATATTGTATTGATACCATATTGATTATTGACTATTATTAAAATGGTTTAATTTATCAGTATTGTTTGCCCATATTGGATATTTAATTGTTCCTCTTCAGTTTCCATGTTTTTATGTTGTAGATCAACTTTGCTATTATGTAATGCTCATTTTAAGTTCATCTTTGAAAACACTTATTATTTAATAAAACTGTTAAATGTAATCTGTAGCAGATCTCAAAATGTGGAATACAGCCTAATGCCAGTTAATATAATAAAGGCCCACTGTTCACAATCTAGTTTATTCCTGATGCATTAAATCAAGTCCTTCCCTTTTTGTGTAGAATATTGTTTCACGCAGAATAAGTTGCATTACGGAAGTAAAACAGGTTGAAAATATTTGCTTTAAGTGTAACTACCTAATTACTCTAGTTTATTGCTCTCTCTTTTCTTAATCCAGGTGAAGTACATCTTTTCAGACAAGACAGGCACCCTGACCTGCAATGTCATGCAGTTTAAGAAGTGCACAATTGCAGGCGTGGCCTACGGGTAAGGCTCTGTTTCACACTGCTTTCATAATCAGTAGAGTGTATATCTGGCTCTAGCAGTCTTGTCCTCAGCTCCCATGTTAGCAGCTGCCTCGATGCTTCCCTGCACAGCCAGAGCGATTCTATAAATATCAGAGAAGGGGACTCACAGATTTTCTTCCTCTTTTTTTTTTTTTTTTTACATGCTTAGGAACATTGCATTTCTGGTTGCCTATTTGTCTAACTTGGGATTTTTATGGAGCATGAATATATAAATGTTTGTTCTAAAACTAGATAGAACATTTTATTAGACACAGTTGAATTCATAAGCCTAAAGTGTTATGAAAGGTGAGATTTCCACTGTGCTGCAGCTGACACTTTGCGAGTGTATTTTTGAATAAATGTTCATCAGTGTGCTCAGCATGTGGTAGATGAAACCGTATAAGATGGCTTAGCTCTCTTCCATATCTGTGTTTTTCCCTTCTCACCGGATAGATTTTATGACAACAGTGTGATGTTTATGGTAAGCAGTTTACGAAAGATGAGGCGCTTTGGATGAGGCCACGGCGCTGAGCTTATTGGATGTTTACATGCACAAGGACTTCCGATCTTATCACATACACGCCAACCATCACAAAATACAGCCTTATGTTCACATTCATGTTTAATGGTATCTCTTTATGTTCTGCATTTGGAGAATAAAGCACATGGTGGCAATATCAGAGCTGGATCTAAATGATCTGCACTCCAGCATTAGGAGCAACATCAATCCTATTATCTTAATTAAAACTCTTCTGAGATGAGGAGGTTCAAGAGACACTTCCACTGTGACACTTAAAGGGGTCATATGATGCTTTTTTAAAGATCATTATTTGGTGTAACAGAATATGTTGACATGCTTTAATGTTCAAAAAACACATTATTTTTCAAATACTGTACATTATTGTAGGTCCTATATGCCCCGCCTCTCTTAAACGCTTCGTTTTCTACAAAGTCCCTCCTTCCGACAAGCACAATCTGCTCTGATTGGCCAGCTGACCCAGTGCATTGTGATTGGCTGAGATGCTCACTGGAAATATTAATGTTATGTTGAACTAGATTTGCATTTCCAATGCTAGTGCTTCCAAGGCAGCAAAAGAATAGCATTAAAGTTTAATTAGTATTTTCCTTCTTTTTTTTGGGAGGGTTACTTTATTGAATGCTGTATTACACCTGCCTCAGGTCACATTAGAGTTTGAGCAGGCAACCCTGAAGTATCCAGCTGAAGTGCATAGAGTTTTGATGTTTTATATTCTTTCTATTGAGCCAAGAGATCAGTCTCTGAGGTTTATTTCCTGTATTTGTCATATGTCTTTTGCGGTGTGCATTCACAGGTTAGTCAAGCCAAACTTGACCTTTGGTAAGGAGTAAAATACAAGACGAGCTAGTGTTTCCACACAAAAAGCATAATTGGGTTAGTTTTGAATAGCAATTGGGGTGGTTTTGTTTCTGACGCCATTCCATCCTTCCTGAAGACATTTCTTTCTGTCTATGCAGAGGAGGAATCCCTCTGCTTATCATTCGGTGTAGTCAGCGCGGTACCTGTTTAATCTCACACAAGTATGTTCACGGCTCTTTGACGCTTGCATACTGGCCTGTATTTCAGAAGCAATTCCTTGTCCTCCACCTCATGAATATGTATGCCATCTTTTATCAGCTTCAAATAAACTTTGTCCTGTTTGATGATGCATCCCTCCTCTCCTCTTGCTGGGCGTCGGAGCGAGTATAGCACCGCACCAAGTCATTGAGGTTTTTGAAGCGTGACATCTTTTCTTACAGTGAGTTGGGAAACTTGGTGCAAGCCAAGTAATATGAAAGGCGTTATTTAAGAGTTAAGACTAATAATGTTAATGTACTTACGGGTTCTTTTGCGAACGTTTTTCTGCATCTGCTTTAGATGGGTGGCTTGCTTGCCGCAACTGCTTGCTTTCAGATTTGTATGACAACGATTATGTGTTCACACGAAATGCATACTTGAAACATTTTCACTTGTTATTTCGGTTTGTCATTCCTTGGATAATTTGGGAGTACACTGTGTAAATTAAATTCCCCCTATAGTTGGGCAATAAAAAGACAAACAACGTGATTTTGTTTTTATTTACTATGGGGAAATGACATGGACACAAGTTATATTTTTTATATTAAATCGTTTAACTACATGGCAAGTTTCACATCCATAAAGGCAAGTGGTCTGAAAAGAAACTCATTATCCAGTTCAAGAATATGGCTTAATATTGAAACAATACAAAAAGGACAGCCGCGTAGTTCTACAGAACTTTGGACTTCTACAATTACTTAAATTCCTCCATTCAATTTTGCTTTGTATTAAGCAGGACATAAATTACTGAATGAAAAGGCTTTCTGTTACCACATGTAAATGTCTAAAACGTTTGTTTATTTGAGAAATATATCTAACCAACTTCATCTAGCTGCAATAAAGACAGCAAACAGTGTGCGAGAGTCACGGGAATCAGTGACTGCAGTGCTCCGTTTTCAACTCCTCCCTCGACTTCAAGTGGCAAATCTCACCGATCGGTATTGGGTAAATTCGTTTGAGATGCCAGACGCCTCTCCCTGAATGAGGACGAGAATAGACAGCAGCAGTCATCCTCTAATCGTATTTGTGGCAGTTGTACAAGCGTTTGGGTGAACTCCATGCTGGTAGCGATAGCGCTTACTATGCTGGCGGAAGTAAGAATACCCTGCTTCGCGTCAGAACAGAAGTTGCGTGACGTCATGTGAAAAGGGCCCATTTCTTGAATTTTTTCGATTTTATTTCCACATGTCTTAATCCTAATCTACCTAATCTTATTTTATTTCAGTTAAGTGCTAAGGAATCATTTCTAATATTTGTTTTATTTTTTAAATATTTATGTTTTATTGTTTCAATTAGCAAAAAGATTTGAATGGTTTTAGTTTAAATTAGCTATAACAACGCTGTACAATAGACTTGAATGCTTTTTGCACCTGCAGGTGTCTCTGTCAACGCATTGGACTGTTTTCCATCCTCATAGTCTTATTTCAGACATTTATAGTCCTATGTCTCGTGTAAAACAACGATTTGACATACTCATAAAAGTGTTTTGTTTTTCCTTGACCCCCGCCCCTCCCCCCGCCACCGTCTCTCATCTCTTCCACTTGTGTTATGTTGCACAGCTAATTAAATAGAACAGTAGTTAATGAAGAATTCCCTTTGGGTGAAGACGTTAATTAATTTGAGTTTTCATGGAGACATGATGGCCAAAGTGCTCTTCAGCCATCAGCACTAGAGGAATTATTGTATCTGATATATTTTTTTCCTCATTTCTTTTGCTTTTGGGATTACAAATTTTGGAATGTAATGGCTGTGTTTGGCTTGTGAAGCTGAGCAGTTTTTTATGGATGGTAATTTGCACGTCCTTTTCTGTGCCAAATCTTCATCTTTTCCTCCGCTTATTTATAGGCCTACTTCAGGGTCAACTGGCCCCATCTCTTTTGCAACCTGCTAAAAACACATTGACGTATGTAACCTGGATCTAGCTTGGCATAATACTCAACATAGAGTGCAGTCTCGGGCAGAAGCATTGTGTGATTGACAAACAAGATGATTATGTGGTGCAGCAAAAGTGCTTTTTACACTACTTTTGTGGCTTGTTTGTTAATTGTTGTGTGTAAATGTCCAGCTGTACTCACCCCACCCCCAAATCTCTCATGGATTAGACGTGGTCTCATCTGTGCACGTGGTACAGTAACTAATGAATGTGATGAACATTACCTATTTAGGTTAGGTGATTCCACTGATTCCATATTGTCAGAATTCCTGTGAATTAGCTGTACGTGTATTTCGTAAGACTATTTCATAAGATGATACTATTGAGTTTCCAGATAGTCATTTAGCAAACACTTTTCCAAAAAATGACTTACAAAATAAAGTACACAGGTTTTTATGAAGCAAATTGTGGTTTAAACCAGAGCTGGAGTCTTGATCTCAGATTTTTAATGTGCCCGGTCTGTGCCTCAATACTTTTTAAATGAAGAAAGTATTTTGAAATGCTGCAATATTTTCAGCTTGTGTTTGTGATTTTGTTTTTTTTGACTCAAGGAGCTGGATCTAGGCTTCAAGAGGTCTATTTTGGGTCTGATCTTGATACCAACTCTGCAACATGTTTGAATCTGCAACATGAACAGCCATGATCTTTACCAACTAGGCTGCACCTACATTTTAACAAGTACTTTTGAGAGTGTCTCTTTGAAGTGAACTGAGGTAGTGCGGTTCTGCAGGATCCTTTCATGCAAGTCTCTCAGGAAGCCTACTGCATCTATCTATCTTTTTTTTTTCTCAAAGCTCTTTTTCTCAGTAACAACCCAAATGGCCTGACACAGCTAGCATTTGTCGGTTTTAAAGCATGTTTGTTTTAAAAGTCCAAGTACCACCCGTCTGCAGAAATCTCTTTTGTTTGGATAGTGAAGAAGTCGTTGAGTCTAATACCTGCAGGACTTGTGTTGGCCTATATTAGCGTAAATGCACTGTTCCCCCCTGCTATAATGCAGGTCTTCTGTTTCAGCGTGCTAAACAATTCTCTTCCCCCTGAGGCTGATGGTACAGAGTCAGATATGTGCATGGCCAGTCAACCTGCCTTTTGTTTTTATAGTTTTTCTCGAGTCATAATTTAGGTTTGAAATATGCCACATGAAGCAATAGGGTCAATGCTAATGCTTTTTTGATGATCTCCACATTCATGTACCATGGTATTTTCATGGTACTTCATGCAAAGGGGAATTCAAAGAATAACTTTTCATGGCACATGTTCACAAACCATGATACTGTGGTTGGCAAATAATACCATTAGACACATGGCACTCATTTGTTAGTTTCACGTGCACATTGCTTTTTCAGAATGATTTGTACAGTACACTCAACTTCATTTACTGCTCTCTTATTTTCCTAGCGTGCTGCTATTGTCCCTTTGTGTCATAGTACACACATTGCTTATTTTGTCTAAC